GCTAAAAATGAATGAAATTAAAAATTACTAACCCAAGAAAAAATGGAAAATTCACAAATATGGGGGCCATTAAACACACTCATAAGCAAGCAGTGGATCAAAGAAGAAATTACTAGGGAAATTAGAAAGCACTTTAAGATGAATGGAAATGAAAATACAATAGACCAAAATTAAGGAGATATGGTAAAGCAGTATTCAGTGGAAAAACGATAGCTGTAAATACCTACATTTAATAAGAAGAAAGATCTCAAGTCAAAACTTTGTTTCATATTTTATGGAACTACAGAGAGATCAAACTAAACCCAAGGCCAGAAGAAGGAAGGAAATAATAAATTTAGACCAGAGATAAATAAAATATAGACTAGAAAAAAAAATTAAAGAAAATCAAATCAATAAAATCAAAAGTTGGTTCTTGAAAAGATAAAGAAAACTGACAAACCTTGAGCTAAACTCAGCAAAAAAAAATAGAGGGAAGATGCAAATAAATATGACCAGAAATGAAAACAGGGATTTTAGTACTGAACTAACAGAAATTAAAAGAATATCATGAATAATTGTTCATCAACAAATTAGAAAATCAACATGAAATGAACTAATTCCTAGAATTAGACAAATTACAAATGGACTCAAGTAGAAAATCCTAACAGATCCATAGTCAAAGATTTTTCAACAAGGAAAAGTCTAGGACAGATGGCTTCACTGTTGAATTCTAAACTTTTTTTTTTTAGTTGGAGTCTCACTGTTGTCCAGGTTGGAGTGCAGAAGAAAGATCACAGGTCACCACAGTCTTGACCTCCTGGGCTCAGCTTATCCTTCCATCTCATCCTCCTTTGTAGCTGGGACTAAAGGCGTGTACCACCCATGACATCGGCTATTTAAAAAATTTTTTTGTAGAATGCTAAGCTGTTCTAAACCTTCTGGGCTCAAGCAATTCTCCCGCCTCAGCCTCACAAAGTGCTGGGATTATAGGTGTAAGACACTACACTCGGCTCCAAAAATCTTTCAGAGAAGAATTAACACCAATCCTATCCTCCTATCCTCAAACTGATTTTAAAAATGGAAGAGGAGGAAACAGTTCCTACACATTCTCTGAAGCCAGCCTTAACCTGATACCAAAACTGGACAAAGATACCACAAGAAAACTATGAACAGTATCCCTTATGAATGTAGACACAAAAATGCTCAACAATATACAACAAATCCAAAAAGCACATCAAAAGAATTATGAACCAAAACTAGGTGGGTTGCATCCCAGGAATACAAGGGTAGCTAAACATAAAATCAGGCCATGTAATAAAGGCATACCACACTAATAGAAAGAAAAATCATATTACCATCTCTACAGATGCAGATAAAGCATGTGACAAAATTCAATGCCCTTTCATGATAAGAATAGTCAGCAAACTAGGAAGAAAATGAAACTTCCTTAACATGATAAATGGCACTTATAAAAATCCTATAGGTAACATTATAGTCAAGGGTGAAAGACTGGAAGCTTTCCCTTCAGAAACAAAACACTACTATTCAAATAGTAATGGAAGCCCCAGAGCAATTCAGCAAGAGGAAAAAACAAAAGCTACCCAAATTGGTACAGAAAAGCAGAACTATCTATATTTGCAGATACCATAATTCTATATATGTTCAAAATCCCAGAGAATCCATAAAAAAACTATAAACAAACTCAGCAAAGTTGCAAGGTACAAAATCAGCACACAATGATCAGTTGTATTTTGATAAACCAGGAATAACCAAAAGAAAATTAAAAAAACAATTCCATTTATAATACCATCCAAAAGAATAAAATACCTAGGAATAAATTTAACCAAAGAAGAGAAAGATGTGCACTGAAAACTACAAAATACTACTGAAAGAAATTAAAGACCCCCCCCAAAATGAAAAAATATCCCATGTCCATAAAGTGTAAGACTTAATTTTGTTAGAATGGCAAAACTCTCACAGTGATCTACATTTAATATAATCTCTAACAAAATTCCAATGACCTGTTTTGCAGAAGTGGAAAGCTGAGCATCAAATTCATGTAGAACTACAAGAGTCCCTGAATAAGGGACTGAAAAAGGAAAATGCAGTTGGTGGATTCATACTTTCTAATTTCAAAACTTATTACAAATTACAGTAATCAAAACAATGTGGTACTGGCATAATGACAGATATAGAGATCAATGGAAAATAATTGAAAGTCCAGAAATAAACCCAAACAATCTATGGCCAGCAGATTTTTGCCAAAAGTGGTAAGACCATTCAACTGGGAAACATTTTTCTCTTGAACAAATGTTGCTGGACAAATGAACAGCCACATGAAAAGAATAAAGCTGAACCTTTTACCTCATTCCATGTATAAAAATTAACTCAAAATGGATCAACGACCTAAACTTATGTAAAAAAATCTTTCTCCTAATACTTTTTATAGCTTTAGCCTTTATTTATTTAGCCCTTTTATGACACTGGATTGGGCAATGGATTCTAAATGTGACACCTAAAGCACAAGCAACAAAACAGATAAGTTAAAATTCATAAAAATGAAAACTTTTTGCCCATTAAAGGATATTAACAAGAATGTAAAAAGGAAACATATAGGATGCAAGAAAATATTTGCACATCACATATGTGATAACGGTTTAACAGAATATACACAAAATTTTTACAACTCAAAAATATGAACATAAGCAATACCGTTTAAAAATGGTCAGAGAATTTTAAAGAATACTCTAGAAACTAGTAAAACTGCATGTGGGACAGTAGCTCAAGGACGGGGAAACGAGTTTTCATTATGTATCTTTTTATAGTAAAAAAAATGTTAGACCATGTGAGATACTACTTAATCAAAAATTTTAAAGCCTGTTTCTAATGCTTTATTTATTTAATCAGCTAAGACATTACTATGATCAATCAGTTTACTGAAGAACATTTCAGCTGCATTTACATACCAATAAAAAGGCTTTTGCTGATAAAAGGTTATATGTAAAACTTGATAAATAAGAACAAGTCAAAAACATTAATTCTTCAATCACAAGAGCTTTTTAAAATGTAGATATAGGGAAACAGGGTGAAACATTGCAAGGTAGTTTAAAAAGTAGTTCAATATCAAGGGATGTAACGGAAGTTTTATCCTTTTATGCCCAGGAATTGGTTTTGACCAAAGTAAAATATATTTCATTATTTACCAATTTAATTTTGGGGAAATATCATTTTGTTTTATGGTAACTTTTCTGATAAAATGGAGCAATGTAAAAATAATTAAACAAAGATAAATGATCAGTTCTTCATGAAAAAAGTAAACAAACACTTTAAATAGAAAATATTTAAAATCAGCCAGAAAAGTAAACATCATACCACAAATCAGATGTGTGCATGTAGTGTATATAAATATCTCTCTATATACAAAATGTATCTAATTACCGATAATGCAAATTCATATATATTTCATGCAGTACAATCAGATTTTAGTGATAGTCTTTTATGATAATATGGAAAATTAAAACAAAAAAGCTAAAACTGCATCTCACAATAATTAGATTTCTGTGATACTTTAAAGATTACATTAAGAAAATACAGTAAAAGGGATGCAAACATTAATGCATTACATGGATTCTGTTACAGGCTAAAAACGGAAAAGAAGCTCAAACACCATTCTGCCAGGCAGAACTGCAAAACAATCTGAAATTGGACACTGATCCTTCAAGACTTTCCACACTTATTAATATCTTATGACTGTTTTAAAATAATTAGATAAAAATAAAGCCATCACTAGGAAGATGGTCCTTTTAATCTTTTTTAAATTAAAAATACCTATAGGAATAAAAATTTTTAAAGTTCTACATGTTTTCTTGAAGATCAGTACAAATTTCTTGTGCTCCATGAATAATAAGAAGCTTTAAATGGGGTTTGCCAATGCATTATGTACCTATCATACTGTAGGTCCCACAGATTATGAGTAAAATCAGTGGTAGATATTAAGATCACAGTAGACATATATGATACAGTCTAAGGTACCCTCAATCCATTCTTCATAAAAACCATTGTGAACTAAAAGTTTTATCTCAGAAATTGAATAATTCAAACAAATAATCCAATTTATTTGCAAGTGAATACTCCATTGCTATTTAAATGAGATTACAGATAGCTTCATTAACCTTTTATTAGCTAAATAAAACTATATTTAATAATAATTTACAAATATAACCACAATGATAACTTCCTATAGTATTTATGACTCACAATGTATGTGAACTAAACTATATTTGTAACTGTATTTTGGATATTTAAAGCATCTGTTAACATAGGTTAACTACAAGAAAAATTAAAAAGGTACTTTCATTTTTTATTTTCTATTTTTTTTGAGTCGTATTCTCACCCTGTTGCCCAGGGTGGAGTGCAGTGGCATGCTCAGGCCACCACAGCCTCAGCCTACTGGGCTCAGGTGATTCTTCTGCCTCAGCATTCCAAGTAGCTGGAACCACAGGCATGCGCCACCATGCCCAGTTAATATTTTTAGTTTATTGTAGAGATGAGGTTTCGCCACTATGCCTAGGCTAATCTTGAACCTGTGGGCTCAGGCAATCTTCTCATCTCCACCTCCTAACGTGCTAGGATTACAGGCGTGAGCTACCGCACCCGGCAAAAAGGTACTTTTAAATGTTACTGTAGTTAATATTATCACTATCCTATCATTATAAGTGTAATTTATTGCCATACTGATGTAATAAAACTAACATTTATAATAGGAAGCTACAAGTACATTTAAGAAAAGAGTTACATTATTAGTCCCTGTTAATTTTCAATACACAGGGTGTCCACTTTTGTAGACATATCAAGCATATCATACCAACAAAAGAGTTAAATTAGTTAACTGGTGATGTAAAAACCAGACAGTGTTCATGGCACATAAATGGACCTACAGTAATAGTTAGTGCTGCAGAAGCTAACAAGGCTTTAAACAAAATTGGAAAAACATGAATTCCATGCAGTTTTACTGAACTCACCTGGCAGAGGTGTAAAACCATTCTCTAGGAGCAGAGATGCATGCACAAAAGTAAGAATATGATTGCAAGTAATAGACTTTAATAAAATAAAAATATAACACTAAACTTCAAAATGACAAAAAATGGACAACGTGATGGGATACCGATATGAGAATACTTTTATGTGTCTTACCTCTCTCTTTGCCAACAGCACGTTAGGAACAATGTGTGGCAGGCAGCGTCCCAGCATTAACATAACGTTTTTTTCACTGTCTGCAATCCGAGACACCTGGAAAACCAGAGCATCAATAAACAAGACTAGAAACTTCTGTGCATCAAGGTATGTAAAAGTTCATGCGTTAGATCTCTGCTCTAAACACACATGCTAATGTTACAACTTACAATAACTATAACCAACAGTTATAGTTCTAACCAAACCAAATAACTATAAGCAAAGGGCATCAACATTTCTGTGGGCCAGAAATGGATTTAAAATTCCAGTAAAAAACAAGCAGGAAGCCAAAGAGGCTTAACAGGCTTCATTCAGTCTGGGAACAAGAAGGGACAGCACAGGACTGGGACAGCCTCAATTCTGTTTGTTTTTGTCCTTAAAAAGATGCCCACAAAGCTGCAACCATTGTCCAAGGGGATAGTTTATATAATGAAGTTGCAAATACAAGCAAGGGGTAGCCCAAGGAAGCTGACCCAGTCTTACAATGAGGACTATGAACGTGCATGCAAACCATCCCCTAGCTCTCTGATGTTCCCAACGACACTGTGGGACAGACCATGGGAGGTCATGTGGAGTCAACCACAAAATGGCTAAAATGAGAGGAGTAAGTACAAAGAGAAAAAAAAGAATGATAAATACTTGAAGATAAGTCTGTGACAACAATTACAAAACTGGTATGTTAAGGAAAACTAATGCGTGAGGAATTAAACTCAGCTACTGGAGTCAACCACCCCTAATGCAATAAAAATAATGGAGTAATTTAATAATAACTAATATATAAACAGTCTAGACAGGATAGTTTTCTGAATTATATCCAAGAGATGCTATCATTACATATAACATTAAAAATACAGTTTATAAAAGGTCACACAAACAGTAAAAATAGTTTAAAAGTTTTAATCTAAAGAACAGAAATACTCAACTACCTTCTTTAAAGGTTTAAGATTTTATTAACTATTTCTTAGAGCATTATCTTAAATAACAGATTTGAATTTGAAATACAGCCTTATCACAGATGCTATTGTATGAGACATTAAGAAGAAAAACGGCACAATGCTTTAAGAAAATGGTAAGAATATCTAGTATGATTTACCTCTGATCCTAAACGACTATCTGCTGACATTCGACAGAAAGAGAGTAGTGCTTGGTGGAAAGCAGGAGACAATTTCCTAGAAGGAAACATTGTATGAAAAGGAGACAATACCAAAGAATTTTCACTGACATTTAAGGAGAAAGTAAGTTGCATATTATAACTCCCATTCCTGCATTAATCTTACCCCAGAAATGTTAACCAGACTTTTCAGCCACCAGCGACTTGAGAGTCACCTCACTGGAGAACTATGTGGGAGGGGAAAAACAAAAAACACTAACTAGTGCTCTTGCAATAGCTTGATTTTATGTGAATAAATACCCCTTTTAGTCAGTGGGTCAAACCTGAAATGGTATAGTAGATCAATGACTGCAGAAAGCATTTGCAAAGTCTGAAATTAGAACTTTCCCTTCTCTCAATTCTGTACGGTCCCAGAAAGGTAAACAAAGTTACAGTGGATTCAGAGGTTGTCCCGGTATACTGTTGGTAGGAAGTAAAGTTTTGTAGATACGTGTAATGCTAATGATAAATCTTAAATATTAGAAAAACCACATAAAAGAAGTAAAATCTAAAGATAAATGAAGGAACACCTCACTCAACATTCATGGCATGTTTAAAAAAAGGATTTTTTGCAATTGAAAATATTCACCTATGTGTGTTTAATAGAGGAGGTCAAAACATGTATGTTTCTAAAACAACAGTGGTCTCTATGTAGTAGTATTAACACAATTATGGCTATGAGTTGTTCTTTATGTGCTCAACTCACAAAGAAAAGACTAACACCAAGAATAACATAAAGCTTATTTTGTATACACCACACCAAGTGGCCCTCGGCATTTTATGATTACAGAGTAGAATGCCAAAGGTTGAGCCTTTTTGTTCTTTTATGTTCCTCTCACATTCTCTCAGGGGAGGGGGCCATAATCCATTCATTTGCCAAAATCAGAAACCTCAAACCGGCCCTTATCATTCCTTTATCACTCCTTTCGTTGTTTCTTTGAGATGGGGTCTCATTCTGTTGCTCAAACTGATCTTAAAATTCCCACCTTCTACCAAGAAAGGCCAGGGACACATCTCTCACCTGAGGACATTTCTTCCCCCCAGTCCCATGGGTTCAAAGGCCTTCCTGCTTCAGCCTCCTGATTAGCTGGGATTACAGGCAGGTGCCACCATTCCTGGCTTCCTTCCCTTTCTTTTAACCCCAAATCCAGACAATCTTTTAACTTCTAATTATCTTGCAAATCTATGTACTTCTTCCCATTGCCAATGCTCCAGCAGTTCTCAATAATTTCTTACTTGGATTCTTCCAATATGAGAGAGGACCCCAGAAAACCTGGAATTTATTTATAAAAAATTGTGTATCTATTCTTACACATTTAAACTGTAAAAGAACACTTACCTAGTACTGTAAGCCCGTAAAGGGGTCCATCCTCCAAAAAATAATTCCATTTTTTTGGGTCCCCCCTTGTAAATACCCAATTCACCTCCTTTCTCCCAGTCTTGCTACCTTCCAGTCAACTCTATCCTTTCTAAAAGGTAGATATCATAATGTCATGAGTTAATATAGGCTTATAGGACTTAGTCGTTGCTTAATTCTCCAACTTCATCTCCTGTCATTTCTTTAGGTTGTATTCTTTGCTGAAACCTTACTAAATTCTTTCGAGTTCTTCCAAAACACTGTTCTCTTTGCACATAATATTCTCCCTAAGTGTGACCCCTTTTCCTCTTACCTCTTTGTCTGGTTAACTGTCACTCAGGCCTCAAATCTCAGATTAGATGATGCTTCTATGAAAACTTTCTAGCTCTAATGACGAGGTTAGGTGCCTTAATTATGTGTTCCCAAAGCAATTTGAACCTCTCTTATACTACCACTTTTCATAACTTAGTGTAATTGCTTGATTGCCTGTTTCTCTCATACTATAAGGTTTGTGACTGAGGGATTCCATTATACTCATTGTAACACTGCCTGGTGTTTAGTAAGAGCTAAAAATATTAGTTGAACAAATTTAGCAATCATCTCTCTACAGGGTAGCTTTGGAGTATCAAAGGAGATACCTAGAAGTACTCCTAATCACTAAAAACGTACTACAAATGCAGTTACTGTTGAGTATAATATAGATTTTTATGACAATATTTTATCCATATCAGAATAAATACACTTTGAGGATTAGACCATGTCTGCTTCAACTCTGAACCTCCATAATACCTAACACACACCCCTATGCACACAAAAAAGTTGTGGTTCATGTGTGGAAAGCTTTTGTTAAAAAAAAAAAAGTTCAATACTTCTCAGTAATAATGAGGACCTGTAAATCTAGTCATGCTTTCTATTACATCCTCATACTGGGTATAATGTCTCTCTAATAGGAGGAGGAGGAATTATGACCTTATGCCAAAAATGTACCATAAGATATTTGTAAGAATTAAGTGAGTTAGCATTGAAAACTCTGTCTGACATATAAAAAGAGCTCAGTAAATATTCCTTTCTTAAAAGTATTTTTTCAAATTATAATCTAAAAGTTTTAAACTTATATTTTGTCTCTTCCACTAGGTAACATGATCATGAAGGGCAGAGACCATGCTCTGAATTCAACCACTTACAACCCAAGAAAAATTAGATATATGGATTAAAAGAATATTAATGATACACAATACTAGTAATAGAAGTAATTGGGAGCAAAAACTTTAACACAGGCAACTATGCAGCAATAAAACATTCTACTGTGTCTGGTAATGACTGACAAATAGAGGTGAAAAAAACACTGAGTAAAAGTACTTACAGCACATAGTAATATATATATTATTTATGGGCTTAAGTACTTAGTTAAGACAAAGACAAAACCTAGCCTACTAACTGATAGCTTATTCCTCTATGATGCAAATTAATTTAGTAATTAATTACTTTGTGACATGTACATGCGGCAAGTATGTGCTAAGCTCATGTCCAATGTAAAAATTCATACATTGAGATGAAAAATAGTTTAAATAAAAATTGACGCTCGTCTAGTTTGACATGTACTAAATAGCTGCAAGATGCATTTCAAAGCATAGAATGTATACTAACCGATTGGGTTTATCAAAATGAACCGTGTTTTTACTTGATGGAGAAGAAGATGGCATTCCTTCTCTTTCTCCCCTGGGGAAAGAATTTGGGGAATTCTCCTTAGGAATAGCGGAATCAACTTCATCTGACATTAAAAGATGGATATCCTTGTTTTTTTCTGTGTATGAAGTATTTACAACTGGACCCTGTACACTGTCCTCAGAGTCCTTGTGGGGTAGCTGATCCAAAGAAGGTTGACCAGAGTCACAAACTGCTGAGATGGAAAAGTGTTCATTTTTAAGGAAATCCATTTCACTATAAAAGAAAGAGAAATTACCAGAAAACAACTGTATTTTTGAAAACTTTGGCAATGGCTTAAATTTCATAATGAGTTTAATGCTTAAAAGTGTAACATATTAATAGCAAGTGATAAATCTTTTTCCATACAATATTCACTAATGCTTCATATACCTAAAAGTGTAGCTATAAGATCAACAATAAACCATAAAAATGGCCTTTAAAAATCTTGCTTTTGATTAGCACTTAACTTTTTTATTCATTTGCAAAATGGTAATAATTCCAATGAACACAGAGTTAACATGAGAATTAGGTAAATAAAGGATGGGAAATATACACAACACTATTGTGAAGGGGAAGTTAAAATATTTTATATCTTAGTTCTAAACATAATTGATTATAAGATCACTACATTGATTTAGTAATTTTTTTTGGAAAAAAATACATTACTATTTCAAATATGTAAGGCAAATATAAAACATTCAGAAGTATTAAAATGTGAAAAAATTATGCCTTATCAATGAAATGTTTCATATATTTATACAACCTGCCAGTGTCTTTAAAAATTTTAAGAGGATTTTTAGAAATGATGACCAAATACTAACCTTTTAAGTCTTCTGATTTGCTCCATCAATGACCATTTCTCACTATTTAATAAACTAATTTTATCTTCTAATTTCTGTACTAACATGGAGTTCTAAAATCAAAATAGGAGAAAAACAGAAACTTAATATCTCATAGTATGCTTTTACATCGTTTAAATACTTTCTACGGATTTCACTAGTTAGTTGATAAATCTCACCTCTACAGGCTGCGGAGTTTCAAGTGTTGGAGGAAGGCTGCCTAAAATTGGTGTAAGGGCCTCTAATTCATCTTCTTCTACTCCACTGGCCACATCCACAAGATCTTTTCCAGTCACTTGATGATTTCCAAAATCTCGGTAGAGTTGCAGTAAGTCTGGAGGTTTTGGAATGTTTAATCCTACATCATCCCATAATTCAAAATCCTAAAAGGCAAAAAAAAATTATACTGAAAAATATCTGAAGAAATTTTTATCTTTCATTTTTGAAATTCATATTATTGCTAATATTTTGAAAACCCAACATAATAATTTTGTTGTAATATCAAAGTGTATGTCCAAGTAAGTAAATAGCATTCTTATTTTATTCTTCCACTGTCCAATATTATTCTTGTAAGTTTCCAGACATTCTAAACAGTTTTAATTGTCTTAAATGTCAAAAATGTTACACATACAATCTGTTTATTAAATCTCTTAAAAATATAAATTCTTAACTTTAAGGCTTATATTAACTTTCAAGCTCATAAAACATGCTCAAATATTTGCATGAAGTTATAAAACATGTCTATATTAAAGAAGTCTTAATTCATAAATGGTACCTAATATTTGTAGGTTATAAGTAAACTTGATATCAATTTTATTTTTCCTGCCTTTATTATTCTAATTTAGATATAATTAGTGTAATCTCCAGTGGGTAAGCAAGCATGTAATCTGCTTGTCTTCATATTACAGCTATTTTAATCTAACTTGAATTATTAAAAATGCTTCTGGGCTGGGCTTGGTGGCTCAGCCTGTAATCCCAGCACTTTGGGAGGCCAAACAGTAAAACATGTTCTTTAATTCAATATAACATTGCTTTATCAAAATTACAAATAAGCTTATCATCTTAAACATTCTATAGGAAGATTTATAGAAGAGTTTTATGAAGTTCCAGGTACTGTCTTAGCATTTTATCTTCCTCAAGTATGTCAGAATTTAGTAGTAATTTGATATATTATAATGTATGCATATTTCTTTATTTATGAGACTCTTCTTTGAGAAAGTATGGCATATTATTTGAATATTATAAAAGTGATGCTCTTAACCCTTTGATGGCTTATTTGAATAGTTGGACAGCTATTATTAAGAATAATTCTGAGGTAGATTATGAGTATTAAAAATAAGATTTAGAGAAAAACAGAAATAAGTATGGAATTCATATCTGTCTCCACTCTTACTACTGCAAGTTAATTTGGGGCTTAAACTGGTCATTTGTAAAATGATATGATACTTGTTATCTGAGTGTTTTTGTAAGCATCAATTAAATGTATGTAAAAGCCTTAACACAGTACGTGGCCAACACAACTAAACAAATTTTAACTTTAAAAAGTTATTAATCTGTCTGGGGACGAGGAGACACCTCTTATCAACAAGGGTGTCTGAATGAAGCATATTTGTATACCTAACCCTTAAGTGTACCCCACAATATCATAATAAAAAATATTGATTATAAAGAAAAAAAGTTATTATATATTACGCATATCATTCAAATATCCATTATCTACCATTCATCCAAGATTTATTATATATCTACTCTGTGCTTACAACTAGCAATGATTAGATGTCCAGTTATTCCCAGTCCTTGCCAAGACTTTGTACAATCTTAGACATTTTATTAAGTGTGTTGCAATGTCGCAGTGTGATTAAATTTGCATTTCCTTAATGAATAAAGATATTGGTAGTCTTTTTCACGTGCTTATTTGCCATCCATATATTTTTTTGGTGAAGCATGTGTCTAAAATGTTGTCCATTCTTTAAAATTGCATTGATTTTTCATTATTGAGTTTAGAGAGTTATTTATATATTTTGGATATAAGTCCTTTAACACAAATGTTACTTGCAAATATTTTTACCCAGTCTATAAGTTTGGGAGGCCAAAAAGCAGAAGTTATTAATTTTGATGAGAGTAAATTTGATGAGAATATCAAGCATTTGGTCTCACATATAATAAACCTTTGATTATCTTCTGAGGCTGCAGTGATTTTACTCCTTTTTTTCCCTCTTAGAAGTCCTCAAACTTTTAAAACAGGGGGCCAAGCTACGTAAGCAATTTAAGATATATTTATATGTTTAAATTCAGTTTGATTTAATTTTTGTAAATGGTATGAGGTATAGTTTGAAGTCAGGATGCTGAGGTAGACAGATTGCCTAAGGTGAAGAGGTTGCCTAAGGTTGGGAGGTCCGAGGCTGCGGTAAGCCGTGATCCTGCCACTGCACTCCAGCCTGGGTGACAGAGTAAGACCCAGACTCAAAACAAAACAAAACAAAACAAAGCAAAACAAAACAAAAAACAGAAAAAAACCCAAACAATCAAAATCAACACCTTGACACCTTTTAATCCATGAACACAAAATATCCCTTCATTTGTTTGTCTTCTTTACTTCTCTCAGCATGTTTAACAGTTTTTAGTTTTTGCAAAATTTATCCCTAAGTTAATTCCTATTTTTGATACTACTATAAATAACCCTTTTAAAATTTAAATTTCAAATTGTTTGTTGCTATCATATACCAATGTAATTGATTTTTGTGCTTTTATCTTGTATCCTACATACTTGCTAAAATCACTTAGTTTTATATCTTTTTTGGATAGTCCCTAATATTTTCTACATACAGGATCATTAGTGACTAAAGACAGTGTTGTTTCTTCCTTTCAAAAATGTGTGCCTTAACTACTTTTTCTTGTCTTATTTCATTAGCTAGAATAGAATCTTGGTAAGATGTTCAATAGAACTAGTCAGAGGAGACATCCTTGTCTTCATCTTCATCTGTCATTATTAAGTATGATGCTAGGGACAGCTTTTCTGCAAATGTTCTTATCAGTTGAGGGAATTTCCTTTGATTTCAAGTTTCTTTAAAGTTTTGATAGATAATGGCTGTTGGATTGTGGCAAATGCTCTTTCTGCATCTTCTCAGGTACTTATATAATTTTTCTATTTTCATTTCTTAATGAAATGGTGAGCTCATTTTTAGCTATTAAATCAACCTTGCATTCCTGGGAGACATTCTATTTGGGTATGACACAGTATCCTTTTCACATATTGTTTAATTTGACTTGTTAAAATGTTATGCCAATTTATACATTTACATCCATGAAGAAAATAAAATAAGCCTGTAATTTTCTTTGCTTGCAGTGTCTTTGTCTGGTTTTGATATAAGAATTGCTGGTCTCATTCAATGAGTTGGGGAATATTCCCTTCTTTTCAATTTCTAGCAAAGTCTGTGGAGAACTGGTATGATTTCTTCCTTAAATGTTTGATAGAATTCACAAGTGAAGCCATCCAAACTTGGAATACTCTTTGAGGGAAGGTTTTTAATTACGAATTCTGTTTCTTTAATAAATGTAAAGTCCTTCAAATAATCTATTTCTTCTAGAGTGAGCTTTTGCAGTTGTCTTCTTTCAAGTAAAGTTATTTATAACATCCCCCTTTACTGTGCTTTCAATATAAGTAAAATCTGTACCGATGTAATCTTGCTAATTTCTGATTTTGGTAATTTGCATCTTCTTTTTCCTAATCAGTCAGGACAGAGGTTTATCAATTTTACTGACCCTCATAAAAGTCCTGTTTCTTTATTTCATTGATGTTTCTCTATAGTTTTCTACTGCTTATATAATTGACTTGTGCTCTCATATTTATTATTTCTTTTCTTCTACTTACTTTGGGTCTCACATAGTTTTCTTTCTTTAGCTTCTTAAAGTAGAACTTGATTTTGCTGATTTGAGACCTTTTCTTTTTTAATAAAGATATTCAATGCTATGAATTTCCCACTAAGAAATGCTTTAGCTATATCCCATGAATTTTGATATTTTTTTCATCTTCATTCAGTTCAAAATACTTTTTAATTTCTTTTAATCTATTCTTTAACTCATGTGTTATTTGAAAATATTAGTTTTCAAATATTAGGGAGTTGTCCATATCTTTGTTACCGATTACTAGTTTAATTTGATTGTGACCAGAGAACATATTTTATATTACTTAAATCATCTTAAATGTTCAGCTTGTTTTACAGCCCATAGTCTAGTCTACCTAGGTAAGTGCCTCTATGTATTTAAAAAGTATATGTATTCACTGTTGGATGGACTGTTGTATAATTTTAATTATGTCACATTGTTGATATCATAGCATAAGTCGTCTATATCCTAAATGGTTTTCTTTTGCTTTATTCTATCAGTTATTCAAAGAAGATTGTTGAAATCCCACTAACTCCTATCTTTTAATTTCAAAGGATCAGTCATTTACATTTAAAGTGAATATTAATAAAGCTGGATTTAAATCTACCATCATGTATTCCATCTATTCTTTGCTCTTCTTTCCTTCATTTTTTTGGGCCTCCCAGTGTTTTTCACATATTCAAAATTTCTACTATTCACTGTTAATTAAGCATTTACAAAAACACAATTAACCTAAAGTATAACCACAGTATACAGCACAGAATAATATTTATGTTAGTTAAATATTAGTTTAGTGTCTGTTGCATAGCACATGTTCAGGAAAGCTACCACTTAATAAAAATAACCTGGGTGTTTATTCTACTCAATTTTTGCCAAGTACATCACAGTAACTGAGCGGGTAACTGAACTGCTATCTTCCTTTGAGAATTTGTTTTTGATAAAAGATCCATAGGAGATTTTATGAATCAACAGAATAATCTTGATATTAAATGATAGCCTCCTCATTTCTAAATAAACTCATACGTATTTACTTTTTTAAGGTACAAGAGTCAAATTGACCCACTGGCACTAAGAAGTCAAAATATTCTAAAGTAAGCCATCATTTCTTTGCTTACAAGATTTTATCAGGAAACTAATAATGAAGTTCTAAAATTGGCCTCTATTCTGAGAGATACAGTTTATTTTCTTACTCTTATTCAAAATACCCTCTCAATTATTGTTATCTATCAAACATCTTAATAATTATAATTATAATGCTATTGAGGAAGATTTTGATTAAACTGAAATTATAAATATACAATCTGTACTACCAAGTGTATGTTTCAAAGTAAAAAGAGGCCATTGACTTACTGGACTCTGTTGTGGCCATGTGCTCTTTGCATTATGGCCATTGCCATGTTTCCTGGCTTTGGCCCCCTTCTCTACCTTGAATCTCCTCTTTCTCTATAGTTTACTTTTTAAATAAACTATGTTTTCTAATCTTAAAAAAACAAAGTAAAAAGAAGCATACTTTATGAACATGTGCAAATGTATGTGGATTACATAGTTACCGGGAAGTTGTAAAAAAGTTCCTAGAAAGAATAAAAAGTCTTTATGTAGAAAGCTACAGGAAAAGAAAAAAATCTGTAAGCCAACAGAATTATAGCTGGGTAGGCAAGGGACTGTTGTTTCTGGTAACTAGCTTTGTAGAAACTTACTATATATATGTAATCCACATTTATTTGCATAGCTTCATAAAGCATGCTTTTTTTTTTACTTTGAAACATACACTTGGTAGTATAGATTATTGTGTATTTATAAATTTAGTTTAACTAAAGTTCTCATAGCACTATATAAAACTTAAAAAATAAAGAAACTATATAAAAGAGAAAGTAAGTGCATTATAAGTTTAAAAAGAAATAAATCATTGTTTAAAAAAAGTAATTTTACCTGATCATCATTCTCATCTGAAAAGGTTATTGATGTAAGCTTGTAGTTGTTCTTCAATAAAAATTCATTGACTAAGAAGTTTAGAGCTCTCTTTTCAAGAGGTTTGATTGGCTCCTGGAAGTAAAATGAGAAACAAATGGAAAATCATAAGTTTCTCTCCTTCAATACTTGTGCTACCATTTTATGTGGAAGATGCTTTTAGATTTGTCATTCACCTACCTGAATTTCAGGACTGGATTTGTAATTTTTTCGTTCCTGTAAAGGAACTTCATGTTCTGGTGGAAAAAAAACATAAATAAAATTTTACTATTTTATATTTAAAACAATCTCAGCTACTTCTACATTGTTAAAGTAGAAGAAATCTAAAAAAATTTTATGTACACCACCTGCAGCCTTTGTTAGGTTGGCTCGGAGGGCCTGAATGGTCTCCTTGGCTTTCCGTAGTTCAAACTCCAGGACTGGACAGGGATTTGGAATAAACACACACAGGCATCCAACCAAGAAAAGGGAAACAAAAATAAAAAAATAAAAAGCAAGGATGGGTATGAAAAAAAAATACAATTTGTATTGAAAACAAAAAGCATGCAGTCTTTATGAAACTTGTGAACGCATGCAGCAGAGTTGATTTGCAAGCAAACTGGTGAATGTTTTCCATAGTTTTAGTAGAATTCAGGGGACTATTATCAAATGTTCTAGCTGTCTGACAAGGAATCACTCTATTTAAAAATAAAATCTATGGCATACTCTTATTTAGATAAATAAAGTATTAGTAATCTGAATACTTCTGCTTTACTCAGTCTAGGTAAGAAATGTAATGAGGTGTTTTCAGGTGACACAATTTTAGGGGAAAAGGTAAAAATTAGATAAAGACCAAGCAAGTATTCTTAAATTTAAAAAGTTATTTTAAATGTATTATCTAAAAATAGTGTTATAAATCGGGATACACAAACATCGGTGAATAGAGCCTTTTGTTAAGATGTTAAAGGAATATGGTTTAAATAATTAAGAAATGTTGAGAAGACTAATTTTTTTTTACAAACAAGCATATGTTTTCTAAAAACAAGCATAGATATATTAAACAAATGTCAAAAAAAGTTCTAAGGGTTTTATTTTAGTTTTCATTTAAGCCAAAAGATAGAAATAATTTCTCTTTTAATTCCTAATTAAGATAATTCTAAGGCAAATGCTTGTGTTGTTTAGTGTACATCTAAAATACAGATATTAAAGGATACCAAGTAAAATTAAGTGGAACTTCAAAGTTTCTAATAACTCTTCTAATAGATTTGTTCATGTTAAGAGGTATTAGTGAAACTCAAAGACTTCTATTACCACCTAGTCTGACTACAGCATAAATATGAACACTGAGGAAACATTGTAATAAGCTCTATAAAATGTTTTATCATGAGAAGATTTAACTGTGTGTGTCTTAATTGGGGATTTTTTAAAAAATGTGTAATTATTAATGTTGAAGAAAAAAATACTTATGCTTGGGAGAAAATACTTGTGAAATAAAGCTCTGGGAAAATTAAGTGATCTTTGTCACAAATGGACATTAAAAGATTATAGTAGTTAAATAGTTTTGCATAAAAACTAGGAACTTAAGGTTTCATCTTAAAGAAGCAATTTTTCCAGATTGACTAATAAAACAGAAAAAGATGTCAAATGAGATGTTATCAGAGACAACAAGGCCATAAAAATATATGGAAAAAAATTAGAATTCACTCAGTTTGCATATTTTCAACAAAAACAAGATGCAATTGAATCACATCTAGTACATGAAAACCAATTATTTTGATGCACAGAATTTAACTGCAGCAACATGGAAGCACAATTTAAAATCAGATGACATTATATGCTACTGTATGTTTTTTGTAGTCAGCAATGCTGATCTGCAAACATTTCTGTGCAACAAAGTTAAAATTTATTCCTTAAAATTTACATTTTTGGAAATTCTTACAGTTTACATTAAAATAATTCTGTAAACATTCAATGTGTAAGTTAAGAATAAGTTTACATAGCATGTTGGTTTACTTTTTTTTAAATCTCAAAACTACATAGTTAGTTTTAATTTAAAATACTTACTATATATTAAGCACACATATTATACTTTTCACTTGAAATTTAAGACATTACAGCACAATTGCAGATCAGAAATGCCCTACATCAAAATGATAGAAATATGAAAAAAACAACTGGTTAAAACACAAAATGGGAAAAAAAATTAAAATGCAACTGGGTGAAACTTTGGGTAACCAAGAGCAAAACACTGAATCATTAAGGCACAGAAAGCCAGAAAAACCCATGTCAGACGGCAAGAATTTATATTTTTATACACCTCTACATATATATTGCCAAATGCCATTAGAAGTTGCCAATGCTTTGAAAAGATACATTCACTCTGCTGCATGTTTCTTAATATACAATATAGACTTTAAAAGACAAAAGGCATATCTTTGACACTATTGCATATCTCTACAAAGGCATAATATGATCAAACAATTGCAGGTACATAGGAAAGAGTTTCATAAGAAAAGTTCTTAACAGTACTATATTTACAGATCTATGAATCTGTCTCTTCTTTATTAAAACATTAGATTTAAGTTCAAAATTAATTATCCTGTAAAGAGAGACATTGTACCCAATGACTTCCAAGTATTTGTAAAATATTGTAATTCTTTCTCAAAATGTTTGAGGATATGTATGTTTATTAAAAAAAAAAATGCTGTAGGAATGAAGAATCAGTTTGCTTACTGTACTAGCCCAATCCTGCTGATTGCAATTTTATTAGAACTAAATTAGTAACTGTGATGATGTAGATATATATTAGTATTGCATATTTAGTGTTACCAGAGTAATTAAGCCACTATAAGCCAACTCTAGATAGGTTGAAACTACTACTTCCAAATGTGGGTTGGATAATATCAGTATATCAGAGGTACTTGAGTGCTTAAAGATCAGGCTTTTATGACTTATGAGATGCAACTATATATAGACACCAAAGGTAAAGTGTGAAACTTCAAAGTAGAAATAAAATATCAAACTTTTGCTGCCCCAACTCCATTTATCACTAATATTACCTTGAAAAACTTCATTTAGCTCATTTTGGCACAAAACTCAAAGTACGACTGCATTTTGGAAGGTCTTTTCCAAAAAACTGGTCTGAGTCAAGTATTTTTTCATTCTCATTCCAGTTCACCATTGAAGAGTTCAAATCAATAGGTCTGAGTTAAGAATTCTGCCATCTCATAGTAGATGTGAAACTGCCTTCTTTCAAGTCAGAATTTTCTGGATTTTTTTCCCCTGAATATAACTTTTCCCTATCTTTAATCCTTATTTTAGTAGCCCAGGAACAGTTTTAAGAGAAGAAAGAATTCCATTTTCTTAAGAATAAGAGTTAGAATAAAAATCCATTCCTATGAGACAATACTATTACTAACCCTAAGGTTAGAGAATTCTCCCTTCTAATTACAGACTTGAGAAACAGATAGCATGACTTAGAGAGCAATATATAAGTGAATCAAAGCAAGATGCAATCTCCATAGTTTATAGCCATGTCTTTTTCTATAATCCTCTTAGTGGGGGAACGGTGGGGGCGGGGAGGAAGAATCCTCTTTCACACATCCTTTAAAGAAACATCTTTTCCCACTATTGTTCTTCTTGTTCAGGTTCCTCTATTATTAATCTCAAAATTGGTGTTTCTCAGGATACCATCCTTAGCCCTCTTCTCTTCTTACTTTACATACTCCACTGAAATGACATTCCTCCTGTGGTTTTAACTCTCACAAATACTCTAAAGGCTCAGAAATCTTTAAATTCTTTCCCAAGATATAGACCTGCCAAATTATCTCCTGGACGTGCCCAGTTGAATGAAGTTTTGAATTTCATGCTATCTAAATGGATTTCATCATCTTCCTCTCAAATCTCATCCTCCTCCTGCAGTCTCTCCAATAAGGGTGCCACTATCTACCCCCCTGGTCAACCAGGGAAACTATAGACTACTCTTCACTGTCCTTTGCCCTTATTCTCACACCAAATAAATGTCAAGCCTTATTGATTCAACCCTTTAACAGCTATTTAAATAACCATTCATCTGAATCGACTCTGCAATTGTCCCCATTATGACTTAACACATAAATTACAATAATCTATAACAATATTAGAGGCCATGGAAAATCTTGCAGAAATCATAGTTTTCTGAACTTACCTGACCATGAAATTCTCTTGTTTTTTGTATAATTAGAAGACAAATAGGCTTATTTAATATTGGTAAAGTTGGACCTGGATGCTGCCTGGTCACTGCCTAAGGAATTTGAGAGCTATTGATGCTACTTCTTACCCAGGGGACAGAGGAAAAACCTAAATATCATTCTAGAAGGTCTACTAGATTATGTAAGCTTCATAAAGTCTTCATATATCTGTATTGATTACTGTTGTTCCTAGAACAACATAATACTTGAAATAAAGAGTAAGCACTCAAGGTGAGTGAATGGACATTTCAATACTTGAATACCGTAGGTGACACATATGAAACATTAACTGACCTTATCAACATTCAGGAGTGTCTTTCCCTATAAATTAGAAAGTATTGTTTTTACAGTTCTCCAGATCCCAACACAGAGTTAAGGTGTGAATTAGAGAAGTAATAAAGTAAGAGATATGAGAACAAATAAAATCAGGGACTCTGATTCTAAAAGATGGATCTTGTGTACCTGAAAAAAGAATACAGGTAATTCTAAAATTAACGTGGTTCTTATTCTAAACATGGTTCTTCATTTCCAAAGGAATGAACATCTATCTGTATTACAGAAATAGATACATTTCAGAACAAATTTCTTGAGGGAAAAAATGTTATCTACTTCATATTTTTATATCTAGGTGCCTGATATAACATACTTAACACACAGTAGGTGTTCAAAGTGCCTAAAATAAGTTTAAAAATGGCAATCTCAATATTTATAATATACGTCTCTTGTTATCATTTAGAAACCTTAAAAATTTAAGAGATATATTGTATATGTACTAAGTAATGGAAGGTTTGTTTAATAACATATAGAAAGACTTTTACTAAAAAAAGTAAAGCTCATTTTAGTTTGGCATCTGCTATTACTTACATCATTTTTATAGGAAAATGTATACTTCCTATAAAAATAAATTGAGAAATAGAACATATCTAAAATTAGCTTTTAGCATTTTACTTCTTGCTATGTGAAATGGTTTCATATGGGAGAGACAAGATTCTGCTAACCACATGGGAGAGGCAAGATTCTGCTAACCACATGAATGAGCAGATGGGTCGACTGCTACAGCCTGGTGTCAAAAGATATATTGTGGGCTCTGGAATAAAAACCCTGTATGTGTACATCCTGATCTTGCCCCCTAACATATGCAAGCTACTGGGCAAATTCTTCAACCTTGGTAAGCCTCAGTTTTCTAAGTCATAAAACAAGGATTTCATGACCTGTTTTATAGGACTGTTAACAAGATTAAATAAAATATATTATATAAAGCACCTAGCAACTAGTGCCTGGTACATAGCAGGTGCTCTATAAAAATTTGTTCATTTAGAGATCCCTTTTCCTCTTTGAAAGAAAATCTGTACAGACAAAAAACAAAAAACAAAAAAACAGATTTTTAAATTTAGAAGAAAGGTGGTAAGAACAATGCTGAAAACAAATGCAGTATCTATCTCATAAACAACAGCTGATTAAGTTTTAGAGAAGAAACCTCATTTGCATGGTGGGGGCAATGAATTCATTACCGTGTAATCCATAACCTCATTCTACCCAAGACTGACACTTGTCTCTCCATTCTTAGTGAGTTTTACATGTGATTCAAAGACAGACAACAGGACAAATTATCTTTTCTGGATTATTGGTCTTCCAATAAGCTTTTAAGTTACTAACAAAGGTTATCAAAGAATCAAAATCTTTTTAGAAATAGGAATTGTGATTAATTCAAAGAGTTTTTTGTAATGTTTCATTCACATTTTATTCCATAACAGGTTATGGTACAAGACCACTGAAACAGTAAAAGATATTTTCTTTGGTTAACATAAGTTCTGCTTCCTCCCTTTTGCAGCAAAGACGAAAGACAGCATTTATTTTATCTATGAGTATAGTAATTAAAAATTACTATATCTCTCCATACTTAGAGACACAGTATATTCTTATTACCACATATTTAATATATTTCATTCCTAGTTGTGCAAGCCTGTGGGTTGTCCAGGTTACTGCTCTTTGCTCATTGTCTCTCAAAAAACATTTAGGTCAGACAGAGACTATCAAACTATTACTGTGACTTCTAATAAAAAGTTAGACAGGAAATGAAAATGTTATGTACACAGTGAAATTTGGTCAGAGCAACTTCTGTTTTCTTCTCTTTTCTACCTATATTAATAGGAATAATTAGAGACTGTTCCAAACAACTAATGATCACTAATTTAAGCTAAATATTTTGCTTCTACATCAATGTTTTCCCCAGTTAGAAGTACTATAATACCTAAATGAGAATAATAATAAATCTTTTCAATTTCACTCAATCTAAAATGCAAGTTTTAAAATGGCAATTAAAAAAATTATGTGGCCAATTTCTACAAATTTTCTAATGTGTAACAATTTGTACAATAAAACTGTATACAACACTAGATATATTTAGTCTCTAAATAAACTAAAACACCATATATTTTATAACATAAAGTATATAATAACTAATATATAATTATATTTAATAATGCTACTTAACAAGTGATAGAATTAGTAGGATAAATTAATCCTAAAATTATTTAAATAATTTCAATTTGATTTGTTAGCTTTTAGATATTAACAATGTGCTTTGCTGTTATATACGATAAATGAAGCTCATGATTAAACCATGATTTAATATAGGGAGCCACATTAAAGTAGTCTAGTGACTTCCCCATTACATTGATATTGCTATTATTTATTATTGCTGAATCGTCTCTGAGAGTCAGCTGAACTAAAAACAATTACTTTTTTCCTAACTCATACAACACTGTCTGAGATTTTAAAATATTCAACATTTCTATTTTTGAGCAACAAATGAAAATCAATTATTGGAATGGCAGTTTTAATGAGATAAAATCTAATCTTTCACGCCAAGAGGCAGTATAGTACAGTCAATTGTAGGCTCTATTCCTGGGCTATGTGGATTTGAATCCTAGCTCTGTTATTGAAATATTATACAATTTCTGTGAAGTGCCTCAGTTTTCTGGGAATGAGAAGATGATAATAATCCTAAAATTTAATGAGTTAATATGCATTTAGAACAGTGTTTAGAACATAGCAATTGTTATATAAGAATTAGCACTCATTTTTATTCATAAACACCATGACAGGTAAGCATTTGGTAGGTTTTAACAAACTTGTCCCAGTAAATGAACGGAAAATTCAACAGAGTTGATCAAGAGAGGAATCCAGATTATGGGTGTTACCTGACCCCATTTTGCCCTAACAGGTCCCATCTAGTAGCATTCCTGTTTCAGGAGCACCTTACCACCTGTTGGAGCTCAACATACCTAACTGATGTCTGGCTGCTTTCCCTACTTCTCTCAGAGCCAGAGTCTTATGAAAACTACAGTTCCTACAAGGCACTCACGAATGACTTCAATGGCTGGTAGCCACTGTCTTCAGGCACCAGAAAGGGACCCGATATTTATACCTAAGGAATCAAGGCTGCTACAGGGGTGAATTCCAGGGTAGACCCCCAGCAGATTCCAACTGGGCTTGTCTGGTGTAGGCAGAACACAGGGTGCAAATTGGTCCTCTGAAATCCCTACAGATCCAATGGTGATGCCTAGAAGGCAGGACTGGTGGGGGAGAGGGGATGGAAAGAAAAGGCAATGAAATGAGCAATCAGGCAGTTAGAAAAGATGTTGTCCTTCTTACTGGAATGTGCAGGTGCCATACAAAGCATTAGTCCTTTTTTTCCCTGAATCATAGGAAAGTCAGAAGTTTCTGAAGGCATGCTGTGATAGTTGGGGAACACCCATGAAACACAAGGCAAAGTTTTATTTATCAACAAGCACAGAAGTGTTTAAAACATTTTTAAAAAATTTTTTTAGAAAAACAGGGTCTCACTGTGTTGTCCAAAGTGGTCTCAAGCTCCTAGTATTAAGTGATCCTCCTGCCTCAGCCTCTAGAGTAGCTGGGATTATAGGTGCAAGCCATCACACCCCACTGAAAACCAATTTTTAACAATCAATCAAGCTGCACTGGTACATATACCTGAATATCAGCCTTGGTTTGAAGGATCAACTAAGTTAGTTGAACTAAGGTTCAACTCACTTTGTACTACACGGTTGCTAACTGAAGTCTGCCTTATATCAGTTTTACAAGCATAATTTAGCAAACTATAGGTGTTTATAACCAGAAACTCATAGCACTGCTGGAAGATGAAGTAGGAGTATCCCCAAACTTGCAATAAACTAATTAGTAAGATAACTTTGTACAATAACTATGTACATTCTATTTACATACCAAATTGTAGAAGGAAGATAATTCCTCAAGCCATTTTATTATTTCTGGATTGTCAAGGAATCCAAATCTGTCCTTACAGTCTTACTCACCTGCCACTCTCTCATCTGTTTCCCTGTTACCATCATCTGAATATCTTGCAAAATCTAAAGAATCAAGGGTACTGATGCTTCCAGCTCGATCTAAAATAAAGAAAAATATAAAATAATTAAATGAGCAGATTTATTTAATTGTCAAACTAAAGGATTTAAATATCTATGATTCTTTCCAGTTAGTAAAATCATAATTACAAGAGTTAGGAATTCTTTTAAAACAAACAACAAACAAGGTAAAAATGCTCCCACCAACCAAACTATTTTCAAATAACCAAGTTTCTCTGCCCAAATCTCTGGCCTACCCCTGAATAATGCACACCAGGACATACTGCAAGCAGCCCAGTTAAAGACCAAAACAAACAAATGAAACAGAAATTTGAGCTGCCACCAAAGAGACAGATTTACAGACTGAGTGTGACTAAGTGTCTACTGAAAAAAACAGAACAGAATCCAGTCTTCACAACCTGATACATTGTTCACCTTACAGTCCAAAATCACCTGATTCACAAAAATTGGTAAAACGTGACTCACTCCAAGAGAAAACATAATTAACTGGGACCAATGCTCAGATAATACAGATGCTGAAATCAGTAGACTAAGATTTTAAAACAACAAATTTAATATTTGTTCAGTGAAGTAAAGGAATATATGTACACAATGAATAAAAGGAGAGGATATCTTTTTTAAAAAGTATGGAATATAAAATATGCCAACGGAAATTCTAGAACTGAAAAAGCAAATATCTGAAATTTAAAATTCACTGTACAGCCTAATAACAGAATGGAGACAGAAGAAAGGCTCAGAGGTTTCAAAGATGGAGTAATAGAAATTATTCAATCTGAAGAGCAGAAAGAAAAAAGATTGAAAAAAAATTAACAAAGCCTTAGGGACCTATGGGACAAAGACAAAAGGTCTAACATTTATAGAACTGTATGTAGTCAACAAGAGGTGAGGCAAGAGGTGGGACAGATACAGAGTCAAGGTCAAGGAACACCACGGAGGACAAATAGAAAGAACAGACACGTAGGCACTTCATAATTAATTTGCTGAAAACCCAAAATGAAAAAAATTCTAAAAACAGAGAAAAACAATACATTTATATATGGAAACAATAATTTGAATGACTGATAATTTCTCATTAAAAAAAAAAAGAAACTGAAGGCATCCAGATTGAGAAGGAAGAAGCTAAATTATTTCTATTCACAGATGAAGCAAAATAGTCTCAGAATAGTCAAAGATGATGAACTGACTCTTCCTGATATACTTAATACGAACCCATAGTAATCAAGGCAGCATGCTACGGGTGTGAGGATATAGATAAATGTGACAAAATTGAGAGTCCAGAAATAAGCTCTTACATTTATGGTCAATTGGCTTTTGACAGGTACCAAGACACTTAAATGAGAAAGAGAAGTCTTTTCAACAAATTGTGTTGGGACAACTTGATGTCTACAAAAAAGGAAACTGGACTAACCACTACTTCACATATAAGTAAAAATGGATCACAGTCCCAAATGTAACAGTGAAAATTATAAAATTTTTTTAGGAAATGTAGAAGCAAATCTAAATAGCATTGGGTTAGGCAATGATTTCTCAGCTATAACACAAAGCATAAGCAATGTGTTAGGCAGAAAAATGTCCCTCACAGATGTCCACATCTTAATTCATAGAATCTTTGAATACGCTACCCTACATGGCAAAGGGTAATTAAGGTTGCTAACTAGCTGACTTTTAAATAGGGAGATTATCCTGGATTATTCAGATGAACCCAACATATTACAAAAGTTTTGAAAAGTGAAAGAGGGTCGCCAGTAAAGAAATGTAGACAGCTTCTAGAACCTGGAAAAGGGCTCCCCTCATAGCCTAAAGCTTCTAGAACTTCTAATACCCTCATTTTAGCCCAGTTAGTCCAACAAGAGAGTCATTTTGGATTTCTTAAGTATAGAACTGTAAGATAATAAATCTGTATTCCTTTGAGCTACACTTCTGGTAACTTGTAATAGCAGCCAAAAAACTAATACTAGTGATAAACAAATAAGTTAACAAACTGGATTTTCTCAAAATTAAAACGTTTTTTGCTTTAAAAGTCATCATCAAGCCGGGCTCGGTGGCTCAGCCTGTAATCCTGCGCCTTTGGGAGGCTGAGGCGAGTGGATTGCGTGAGCCCGCGGGTTCGAGACATGCCTGGGCAGCGAGAAATCTCATCTCTACAAGAAATCAAAAAAATCAGCCGGGCGTGCGCCTGTAGTTCCAGCTACTTGGAAGGCTGAGGCGGAAGGATCGCTGGAGTCCAGCGGGTCGAGGCTGCGGTGGCCGGGAGCGGCCACTGCACTCCAGTCTGGGCGACAGAGTGAGACTCCAACTCAAAAAAAAAAAAAGTCATCATCAAAAAAGTGAAAACACAAATACAAAACAGGAGAAATGTTTGCAAATCAAACATCTGGTTAGGGGGATATCTAGAAGATAGAAAGAATTCTTACAACTCAACATAAAAGAAAGCACAATTTTAAATTGGGCAAAGGATTCTCCAAAGAAGACGTAGAATTAGTGAGTACACGGAAAGATGCTCGAAAGGGAAATGACACTCATTAGGAAAATGAAATCAAACCACAGTAAGGTACTACTTCAAACTCACTAGACAGTTATAATAATAAAAGATGACTCGTGTTGCAAAGGATGTGGAGAAACCAAAATCCTCATATGTCACTGGTCTGACTGTAAAATGGTACAGCCATTTTGGAATTGGTAGTTCCTCAAAAAGTAAAAGTAGAATTACCATATAGCTGAGTAATTTCCGAAAAATGAAACCATGTGTGCACAAAAACTTGTTTATGAATGTTTACCAACAGCTTTATTTATGCCTGTCACAAAGTAAAAACAAACCAAATGTCTATCAACTGATACAGATAATAAAATGTGAATAAAATACAGTAGAGTCATACAATGAAATATTATTCTGCTATAAAAAAGGAATGAAGAAGCCGGGCTCGGTGGCTCAGCCTGTAATCCCGCGCCTTTGGGAGGCTGAGGTGAGTGGAATGCCTGAGCCCGCGGGTTCGAGACCCACCTGGGCAGCGAGACCTCATCTCTACAAGAAATCAAATAAAAATCAGCCGGGCGTGGTAGTGCATGCCTGTAATTCCAGCTCCTTGGAAGGCTGAGGCGGAAGGATCGCCGGAGCCCAGCAGGTCAAGGCTGCGGTGGCCAGGAGCGGCCACTGCACTCCAGTCTGGGCGACAGAGTGAGACTCCAACTCAAAAAAAAAAAAGGAATGAAGTACTCATACATAATATGACATGGATGGGCCTTGAAAACATTATGCTAAGAAAAAGAAGTCAGACACATAAGGCTATACACTGTATGATCATTCATATAAAATGTCCAGATAGGCAAATCCATAGAAATGTAAAGCACATTGGAAGTTGGCAGTAGAGGAAAAGGGGTAGTGACTGTATAGGGTTTCTTTTGGGGTGATGAACATGTTCTGGAATTAGGGATGATAATTGCACAATTTTGTAAATACACTGAAAACCACCAAACTGTACATTTTAGTAAGGTAAATTTATGGCATATGAATTATTTCTCACTTTGGTGGGGATGGTATGCAGTTTCTTAAATGGCTACAGAGTTATCTATCATAGAACCTAGCAATTCCACCCAAAAGAAATGAAAATACATGTACATAAAATCTTGTACATGATTGTTGAAAGCAGTATTCACAATGGTGAAAAATAAAAAACAAAAAGGAAACAACCCAATGTTTATCTACTGATAAACAGAGAAATGAAATGTGGTATATATCCATACAATGGAATGTTATTCAGCAATAAAAAGGACTGAAATACTCATAAAAACTACAACAATAAACAAGTCTGGAAAACATGCCATTGGAATGAAGCCAGTCACAAAACAAGTACATATTGTATGATTTTCATCTACATAAAACAATAGAAAAATATATAGAGATAGACTTTCTCTATATAGATTATTGGTTTTCTAAGGCTCAGAGGTAGGTGTAGGAGGTGAATAGGGTGTCTGCTAACGGGTAATGGATTTTTTTGGGGAGTTATGAATATGCTCTAAAAGTAGATGGGGTGATGGTTGTACAAGTCTGTAAATATACTAAAAACCAGTGACTTGTACACTCCAAATAAGTAAATTAAAGCATTTAAATTTTATCTTAATAAGGCTGTTAAAATTTGTAAAATGGAACATCTTTAGCATGCAATGAGAAAAAAACAAAAAAACCCCTGCAACCTAAATTCTATACCCAGGAAAAATATCCTTTCAAATTGACAAAAATATAGTATGCCAGATGGTCAAGTACTATGCAGAAAAGTAAACCAGGGGAAAAGAGCAATTTAACTTATATGAAAACATCTCAATTCTTATTGGCTCCTTGTGATAGTTTTGTTTTTAATGAATCAAAAATTTCTATGGGATTATTTAATACTATCACTAAATGTGTCTCCTAGATCCAAGTTTGCTATTAGCGACTACCAGATTCAATGGGAGCCATGGAAGTCTTCAGTCAGAAAACATCTTAAACTGAGTCCTAAAGAATAGATGTCCACCAAGTCAATAATTGAGGGAAAGGCATTCTTGGTGAAATGAAAGAACGAACAACTGTATGGAAACTTCAGAGTTGGACAAGCTGTGTGTAAACAGCACAGTTACGATGTACAGAAGCTCTCAAGAGGCAGGCAAGTCTGAACTGCTAAGGCTAACTTGGTTGTAAAGACCAGGAAGGACATTGTGTCCGCTTCCTAATTGAATTTTACATACACAAATCGTTTTACAGATGACATGGCTAGCTAATGTAAAAAATGGACCAATGAGAGGCTAAGTCAACTCTTTTATTAAACCACATTATTTTACATGGTACTTAAAATTTATATATTGATCTAAGGGAATGAATTATCCGTGTTTAGCAAGCAGACCCCCAACAAATGAATGCGAGTTACAGGAATATAGATTTGGACTCCACTTTGGACTCTCCCATCTCCTTTCCAAGCAATTAGTACATGCCAATAATTGAAATGGTTGACTCTTCAAATAGGGCACTGTCTTTATCAATGTATCACTTA